ATCGCCTGGGGCGACTCGAGCCAACCAACGCGGCGCTCAACATCCTCAAGATCATTCGCTAAGCGATGAGAAGAGCGGTCAACGTCAGCGACGTAAGCGCTTACTGAGCGAACATGGCTCCGTAAGGAGAGGAACTCCACGAAGCTCGCAGCGCGAGAATCCAGCGGCAGGTCGCCCTCCTCATGCTCTGCTCGATGAGCAAAGGGAGCTCCACTACCATGTGGAACGGCTTGTGGCGCGACGATGTCGCCAGGGTCATACCCAATATCTTGTGAAGTGGAGGGGTTATTCTCACTCACATAACTCTTGGGAGGTTGAGGTTCCCCTCCGGCAAGATTGCCCTGACGTCGTGGACGCTTATGATCGGGCACATCCGGTGCTGGAACGCCACCATGGCGTGCGACAGCGTCGCCAGGCGCTGAGCTCTTCCCACTAGAGTGGGAAGAAGACAGGTCGGCAGCTGAGCTCAGGCTCTGACCAGTGGCTGGAGCAGCCGGCTCGAGAGAACGAGCAACGGTGCTCGCAGCGGGAGCAGGATGTGTAGACACCTCATGACGCTGGGGACGAGGTCCCGGGAGCTGACGTCTAGCTTTTGACTTTGCGAAGTCCAAGCGCAAGCGTCTCTCCAAACGAATATCGGTTTCAGAGAAACTAGCTCTAAGAGCGTTATAGGACGGTAACTCCACCCAGTTTTGAAACTGTGCTTCATAAGCATTCTGGGATTCACCAGGGTTGAGAGCAACCGGAATGGTTCGCATGAAGGGAACCGAACGTCGGTTGAGCTGCAATCACAAGCGCTCCCGATCCTCCTGCGGAGTTGTGACTTGTGGAGTCAAGTATCGCTCGCGGTGCGTGTGTCGGGGCACCTGCTCATCAGCAGTAGCGGCAGCAGGCCCACACACGTATGTGTCTAAGGTTTGCTGTGCAGCACGACGAGCAGTCTCAGCAGCGTCACGTGGCTGGAAGCCATAGTCGCGACGCGACGCATGAGCAAGTGGCCGGGCCATAGGTCGAGACGACTGCTGAGTAGACAGGATACAGCTCTGAGCCTCATCCAGGTCATTCCTAATGACGTTTGGATCACGTTGATCCCCCTCGTCGTACCGTGAGGGCAGCGGAGGTGCATCGCGCAAAGACCGTAGAGTGTTCGATCGTTCTGGGAACGGATTTGGTGCTCGAAGCTCTCGCATCGGTGGAGACCGAGGAGCCGAGACATAAGACCTCAAACAGGCGGCTGGTGATGACACCATACTGCGGTGAGACCTCGGAGAGGCATCTTGCGATGATGTATCGCCAGCCATGGGCTAGTCTAGGTCAATCTGACCTTCTTCCAGTTCATCGAACAAGAGGTCATTACCTCTGCGTGGAGCCCGAGGCTCTTGAGCTTGGCTCTCGTCACTTCGACGGCTCATGGAGCGTGTGCCGTGTCGGCGACGGTGTTCACGGTGGTACTGGGCCACGGAGAGGCTGGTAACGGCTTCTGAAGCAGGCGCTGCGCGCGTATGTTGGTCTAGGACCTCTTGCGAGCTTGAGGTGCTTCGCGCTGAAGAGGCTTGGCCGTGGGCCGATAACGAGGAGCTGGGCATCAACGATGCGAAGGCGTTTGTGAGCTCGCGGAGCTTCTGAACGCGTGCTTGAGATGTAGTGACCTCCGACGTCTTGACAAGACTAGACCTCGCTTGAGGCAGTTTCGAGAACGGAATGTTCTCATCTTTTTGGGGGAGAGTGTAACGGGGTTACATGGGTGTGGCGCACACATGGGTACGGAGTACCCGAGGAGTTAACAGACTCAGTACATGAATCGTAGAGTTA